ATTCTGAGATATCGCTGTACACAGATTTGGGGGACGCCACACGGACGGACACACATTTTTTCAAGTATGGTTATTTTTACTCCTGGGACCTTAAAACGTCTAGAAATGATGAAATTTCAACTTTTTTTTTTTTTTTTTTTTTTTGGAGGATGACAATACTTCCTCTCTACCCTATGGGAGCGAGAAAGTAAAAATCATTCATTTTACCTGAAAAGTATGTCCCAAATTTTGTAAAGTTAACTCAGGACACTCACTATGGTCAATATTTCAAAAATTGCTACTCTCTCTATCTTAGAAACATCTGAAATTGGTAATAAAACAATCCTGCAATAAGGTTGGCCGATGATACTGAGATCAACTCAATCCAGAAAATGCAATTAAAATGCCACGGTTGAATGACAGATACTCGAAAGAACAGCGGAACATCTGATTATGATAAAATTTTTAGTAGTGTCTCAGACATCAATATGTACTGTATTTTTCCTGCTGAATGTTGAAATTGGTGGAGGAACTACTTTTTGGGTTGAGAATGGTAAACATTCTTTATTTTTCGTTTCAGAGGACTCATTGATCAAAAAGCGGAATCTCAAGGACCAGTATCATTATTTTGATGAGCCAACTGTCAGATATTTACCAGTGGGCCTCCTATACTGATGTGAATGTGAGGAGAATGATAATGATACACAGGATGAGAAACAGTCCGTTGCCTTGGTCCAGGCTCGACATTAGAGGAGGAACTGTGATACACTGTCTCAGTTTGAACAGATGCAGACGGACTCACAATGTCACCAACAGCTACTTGCTGTAATAAAAAAAAAAAAAATTAACATTACACATATTCTTTAGCGAGGCTGCTTAATATTGGGAATGCTGATTTTCTTAAGTTGAGGCTAAAGATTTAAACCAGGAGTATTTAATATCAGAAAGCAATAGAATGTCTAATAGAATACAGTACGACCTCAATTTATCAGATTTCACTCAAGTGACGAATCGATCCATTGAATCACAATTCTTCACAATCGATCACAGGTCTTACTGTGTAAAAAGTTTACCACAACAGCTGCTTAACCTATTTGATAAGTTTGCTGAGTCATACTCGGCATGGCCGCACTGGGCAGTGGGTGAAATGGCAGGTCAAACTGATAATGCAACTTGACAACAATTTTTGCGCTGTTTTTGCACTTTCCTGACAGAGGCACCATGTGCTCAGGTTTCATATGATTGCTAGATAGGATGCTACTGATGCAGACTTATTTGAGGCTGGTTTTAAATTTGCTCCAAGTTTTTGACTAAAATAAGGTATTATTTGTTAACATGAAAAAAAGACGGCAAAAAACCTCATTATTCATAACCTTTACATTTGTTAGTAATTGGTTTAACTGGCTGATTTCCCATGATTTTCTCCTTTGATTTTGTACTTCGTGCTTTGTAATGGGAATATGCTATGCCTGGGTTTGATGAAAATACTTTGACTTTGGCATGCTAATTTTCTGCGATAATTTTACTTAAGGCAATTAATTTTTCTTTTCTGCCGAGTTTTCCTGTTAATAATTACACATCAAAATGTACGTAAGTAGCTCAAGAAGAATCCAGGAAATCAAGTAATTTTAGGCAAAAGCTAAATTCCATCAACCAAGGCAAAACTTACTGTCCGTCTGAGGAGTAGGAGACCTTAATTAGGGTTCATTATTTCTAAAAAAATGTGCTGAAATTGTATTGTGATTGGAAAATGAAGAGAAAAAAGAAGATGAAAAATGGGCAAAACTCAAAATTACGGAGAAGGACCTATTGTTGCTTACAATTACAGCAGGAAGAGTAGAAGTTGTAAGGACAGTAGGCGCACCAACTCCAGGGGGGTTGAACACTCTAGACTGTCCTACTGGAGGCAACGTCAACTGCTGAACAAATTGGAATGGTCCACTATTCACTGGTTGAGTTGAATACACTATAGACACAGGGGGTGACTGGGATGGTTCTCTTCGGAAATAGGTATCTCGATTACTGTAATAAATAACAGAAAATAAAAATCATGAGGTACGATTAAAGGATGTTCCTTGGGTACTTGAAACACAGAAATTAATGACCATGGGATAGATAAGAATTTTTCAGAATAGGAGAAACCTCCAAACTTGGGAATTACATGAGGTTTGTTCCATTAGACACCGGATTTTAATGCTTCCTTGCCCACTTTACGTTTAACTGCTGTCTTTGATTTTTTAAAAAGATAAAGAATCTACTGAATGAAACATTCTTCAAAGAAGTTAGTTTTTTTAATCAGTTTTGCTGTTGCACATTTTGAAAAAAGGCATTTTCAAGGTTACTTTGCATGGTAGCTTTCATTTTATAAATATTTTTTTGGAAAAAAACAAAGGAGAGTTGTCATGAAGGGTCAAAGTGATGCTAATACGCAACTTTTTTTCACAACAACATTGTGATTTTTGAAAAAAAACCTGTTCTTTGGCCATTGTAGTACCCCTCCCCTAGTGGTGCATAACTAACATTGGTTTCTTAATTGCATCTTTTACAAGTTCTTAGTAAAGAGGTATGTTACAAATGTTTCAGGTATTCCAAAAGAAAAAAAAACAATTCAACACTCCATGGATGCGCGATGATAAAGCTTTTCAATTTTTACAAAGAAGTTTTTAGAAGGGCCCTGAAAAAGAGTCCTTCAAGGGCAACAATCATTCAAATTGCAGTGCTGTGGCACCTTACCTCCCAGCCATTCAAGTGCATACATCTCTGGGCCTAGATAATACATAACAATGGTGAAACACCCAAATGACATATCTCTGTTTGCGACGTGCGGACTTTCTGTTATACTTTATTTTTTAAATAGAAAACTACTCAACGTCAATTCTTGTGACCTTCCGTTATTTTTCTTTACTGTGCAAAGAAAATTCTATGAAAATTTCAAGAAATAATATTGATTTGGTGTCCTTCAAAAAAGTAAAATGGGAGCTGAGATTTTTAGATGCTGCGAACAAGATCTGTAGTTTTGTAGTTCTACTGTCGTTAATCAAAGTAATACAGATTCACAGTCCGTCTTGGTCGAAAAATTCCCCATGCAAAACTTTCTCTCAAAACACATCACCAACAAAAAATCGTGTTTAAGCAAAATTTTCCAACTTTTTTTTTGTCTTGCACCAGGTTTTTCAATCCACATGGTTTAATGGTCTTCTATTTTCATATTGTAAACATACACCGAAGACTTATTATCAAGAATGATTATGCCTAAAAATTTAAAATGTCAGTTGAACATTCTTCTATTTCTCCTGAAAGTACACTGACTAACAAAAATGACTCCGAATATGCCTCACTTCAAGCTACATAACGGCTAAATAAAAAGAAAATGATGCTCTCCAAACAATGCTTTGTAAAGTGAAGTACTTAGCTTCCTACAAATAAAATAAATTAAAAAAAAAAAAAAAAAAAAAAAAAAAAAAAAAAAAAAAAAAACAAACTTCAAACGCAAGGTGGGCTAGGAATTTTTAAAATCCAATTTCTAATTTAAAAAACCATGACAAACAGACTTCTATTTATGTAAAGGTGCAGGCTAATTTTTGAAGGACAGAAACGGTAGTACAGGGTAAATATAAAACATACTTTTCCACGGTCATTCTCCTACGCTGCGTTTCTTGAATACGCTGTTGAGTTTGCCAAAGCTGTGTATGCACGGGATAGTATCTTGATCGAGGTGGGACAGCATGGTATGAATCCATTGGGCCTATGAAAATTATGAGATTGATATTAGAGTGGTCTTAGGCAGTCACATAAAAAAGCATTTCAAAAATAACAGTACCTATATAAATATACAAGACATGATCTAAATCATCATATCATATCATATCATATCATATCATATCATATCATATCATATATTCATAAACATTACTGAAACACACACATAAACACATTGAAATTTTCCATCAAGAGGGTTCTGATTTCTTTGGAAGTAGGTATACCGAAAAAGTACCATAAAAGTACTGATTTTATGCCAGCCAGTTTTATTAGACACCCTGCTGGAAAGAGGCAATTTCTCCTGTTTTTATGGTTTATTAGGGTAAGTGTGAACATGACGAACATGAAGAACTGGGACAAATAGTGACTACTTTGTTTGTCTTACAATGCATCTAAATGAAGGCTCTGTTCAATGAAAACCCTGGGCGCTGGTAAAAAACTACAGAGCAATGTTAGGATACAATTGGTACTTCTAGTGTCGGGCTTCTTGCAACACTAATCAAAACGTATCATCAATTTCCATATCCAAAAATAGACTTTGATGCTGTGAATTTGACTTAAATAAAATGAAAAAGCTCGGAGATGCAGTCTCAGTATTCTCAGTACCACCAGAAAACCAACCCCTGAAAACAATGACTCATGAGTGGACGTGTGTGGCTGGGGATTGGGTGGGAATGGAGGAGTATGTGCCTTATGATGCTTATAATACATGAAGATTCGTTACGTAAATTTGTTCTGGCTTCACCTGCATTTTACTATAATTTTTTTGTTTTTTTACCTGTATTCCTCCAAAAAACCCTAAAATCTTCTAAAATTAACAGGCCTTTTTAAAAGAGAGTATAGGAGAGCTATTATACAGAATAAAAAACAACCTAAATTAACTTTTTTGGCATCTTACCCAAATAAACCATAAAAATACGAGAAATTGCCTCTCTAAAGCAGGGTGTCTCCTAAAACTGGCTGGCAAAAAATCAGTACTTTTACGACACTTTTTGGGTAAACCCACTTCCAAAGAAATCAGAACCCTCTTGACAGAAAGTTTCAGTGTGTTTATGGTATGAAAAGAAAATTTCAAAAATTCGATATTCAAGCGGGAATCACAAAAAAAAGAACTAAGCTACGAAATTCAAAGCTCACTGGTGGCATACATGTCCGATCCCGAACAATCACAATCCAGCGGGCAAGTACTGCACTAAGAATCTATGTGCAAGGTTATGAAAACTGTTCAATCCACACAGCTTTTTCAAACTAATTTTTAAACGTATGAGACATTTTTCCGTAAAAGAACGCATAAGACTTCCAATGTTGCTAAGATTGTGCAACGTACTTCTCTGTATGTAAGTAACTTATACGGCAGTTCTGCTACGTGTTTTTTCCTAAATCTGCTCCGAGGTTCTCCTCACTATCGTTAGAATGTAAGCCAACCGTGAATGAATTTAATCTACCCAAACCCTAAAAAATTGAACAATCTTAGCGGCATTACAAGCCTCATTAATCTTTTTACTGAAAACTTTTTCATTTATAAAAAATTTTAACACTAGGTATTTCAGAAGATAGTTAACAAAAATTATTGGTCTTTGACAGTAGTGGGTAATAGCTATGATGAGTTTTTTCAGAATTGGGGTCAAAGTCGAAAAAAGCTGAAATCTTATTCTATGAAAAAACAATGCCTCACGTTTTAAACTTCTGACACAGAAAATACAAGAGAGAAAATGTACAGATTATTCTCGCATCAAGAAACATTATGGGTGTCAAAAGGTAGCAAGGGCAGAAAAGAAACTTACCGCACATTCTATGAGGCTCGATGTGATTTGGGGAGATAGCATTTGGCGATAATCTGCGCGTACGATTAACAACTTGTTGGGGACCTACAGGGCTACTCTGACCAACTGATGCCATTGGACAGGTTGCATTAGTCAGATTGACAGAGTTTGATGAAATCAACGAATGAGGACTTAGAGGGTTTGGTGGTTGAACAAAATTAGCTGAACGAGATGAAGTCATTGCGTTGACTAAATTTGATGAACTCATTGACCTGAGCATATCTGCAGGATGCATGCTTGGTGAATACCGTTCTGAATATGAAACGGAATTGGCAGAGACAGGTGAAGTTGAGTTGACTGAATTGGATGAGCTCATTGACCTGAGTATATCTGCAGAATGCATGGCTGGTGGATACTGTTCCAGATATGTTGTAGAATTGGCAGAGACAGATGGACTTGCAGAACAGTACCCAACCGGAAAGACAGGCCCTTTGGATCTTATAGAAGCTTGAGGATTGACTGAGGTTGTTGGCCCTGGCTCTGGGTTTATCATACAATGAGTCAATGTAGGGCTTAAAGAAAGAACTTGAATAGGGCTAAGAGGACTGATTGAGCTAATAGTGCTAGCTATAGGACTTAGTTGAGGTGGACTAACTGGTGAAAGAGAAGGAGATGGAAAAACAGGTAAACGACAGGAAGGTTGGTAGTAGTAGTATGGCGGATGTTGACACGATGGCGCTGGGTTGCGTACAGGCACAGTAAAATTTGGCCGAACAGGAGGCTCCCTGCTGTTCCCTAAGTAGGCATAACCACAAACACTGCTAGCTGTTGAGGAAGTTGGAGCATTGTTTTGGTAACTACTGCTAGTACTTGAATTGGAATGTTGGCGATCAGATTCTTCATCGGTTTCCTGTGTCAGATCCACAACTTGAATGTTACACTTCTGGAATCGACAAAGACATTGAGTGCATGAATCAACTGAAGTTGTATAATGCGCACTTTGATGCATTTAAAAATATAAAAAATTGAAATGAAACAATTATTTGCCACCTAGTATCAATCTTGTCTCTTTTTGGTGAAGTTACAAAGATTACAACTAAAAAGAAGGAAATTCCGTACCATATCCGATAGGAAACACTGCAGAATCTATTATGTCAATTTATTATTTTACACTTAAAACACTTGTATTTTATCTCCAAGAATTGAATGATATGCAATTGTAGTAAGATTAAAATCGGGCAAATTTATCGAAAAGGAGACTATTTGCAAAAACAGAATTTTGTGGGAGTATATCTTCTCCAAAATCACTTTACAAAAAGTAGGGCTGTGTGAATATGGCTTTTTGATATCGAATCGAATTGAATATGTTGAAAAAGTTTCGAATTCGAATTGAATATTTTTAGTTTTTACTTACCTACTTTTGACCAAAACAAACCTCTGTGTTGGTCGAAGTAAAAATTGAATAAATAATTTTTCTCAATTCTAACATTCAAATTTTGAATAAAGAAATTGCTATTACAGGAGTAAAGATCAAGAATTAATAAATTCATTTAATTATCAATGGGTTTTGCATACATTTTGATTTGCTGGGGAAAGAAAAGAAAAGAAAATTTGCTTTGTTCAGTTTTATTTCACATCAATGCTGATCTCGCAAAGACAGTCTAGCAACATTGTTAAGACCGGAGTGCCGCGCGGGGCAGAGGAGGATAGGTTATGGAGGTTAGTACATTCACCCATTTGTACACCATATTGATGATGTATCAGGTGGAACTCAAATGGAACGAATTTTGAATTGACGCGTCTAGTACAAGTGCCATACCCTGGATGAACCAATGAATTGTTGGCCTTTGTTTACCTTCCCTTAAACAAGTAGTTTGAACTGTGCGCCAGATTGAGTTCCTACTAGTACGTCATCAACATGACCGGATGTACGAATATTCGGTCTTTTTTTTTGAGATGCGACATTTTGTCAATGTGGTCAAATAATTAGATTATTCGAGGTTCCTAAGTTCGAGTTCGAATCGAACATCGGAATATTATTCGAACTCGTATATTCACACAGCCCTGACAATAAGTCTGGCTGCGACCGAAGGGGTGTTTTATAGGCACTTTGGCTTCACTCATGGAGCGTTTTTAAATGGTAGCTCATTTAAAGAAAATTTTAAAAAAATTAAAGACAATTTCTGTGTACTAAGTCAACTCCATAATGTTCAAAAATTAAGTATTAAAAATTACTAAACAAGCTCTGTCTTCTGTGTTCAGAGATGAAGCTGAAAAATTTTCGTCAATCTAGAACGGAAGCCTCTATCATATCCCCTTAAAAATTTTTTAGAGACTCGAATCTCAAGGATATCCGTTGACCCATCTTGTGCATAACCCATTATGTAATGCGTGCTTACCTTTGGTGGTGTATTGGAGCAAGAACTATTTTCAATGGTGATATCGATGCTATTCGAGTTATCATTATCATTATTTATATTTATTACTGGTGGAGCAGTCAGCTGATTACTTCTACGCTTGATGGAGACTACTTCTATTCCACTATCATCTGAATGTTCGTCTTCTGTTGATGATAGCCAATCTAGTTGAAGTTCTGGGGCAATTGGTCCATCATCTTCATTTCTTGACCTTGATGGTCCTGATACAAAATGAAAATATTCAGTATAAATTTTAATACATTGAGTTCAATACATTGACCTAACTTTCAATAACTACTATAAAAGAAATTAAAATTAAAGGAGTTACCAACGGAACCAAATGAGAAAAAGATTTAGTATTAAAGTTAAATCAACCCAAATTAAACAATTTCATTGCCACGATAAAAAGCTTGCGCTGATCTATTCAGATAAGGCTCATTATAGTGAAGTCGCTTAGAGAACAAAACCACCATGATAATGCATTTTGGGCTGTTGGTATGAAACTTGGAGAGAATATCATCTTAGGTAGCTCGGGCCTATTTTAGTTTTTGAGAGGTAGAAGAGGGAAACTCACTTGCCTGCACACTCATGTACTTTTAAATGTCTATGATGCAAGAAAAGTCGGACTCAACTTCAGTCAACGACTTTACCTATGCTAATTGCTGCCTCCATAAAAAATTGTGATTTGGCCCAGTCCCATTAGATACATACGTACATACATATAAGTCGCTTTACAGCACTCCCTCGCGCTCTACGACTCCTAACCTCCACTGCTCTCTTTCAAACCACAAATCTTGGGGGATTGAGCACCTTAACATTTCCGCTTCAATCCCTTCCCTCCAACCTTTCATTGGGCGCCCTCTGCGTCTTCTTCTAGGAGGAACCCAGTCAAGGACCTTCTTCGGCAACCTGTCTCCTGCCATTCTCTGGACATGACCATACCAAATGAGTTGTTTTGGCATAATATCATGCACGATGGTCTGCTTGGCAACCATGATCTCCCGTACCGTCTCATTCCTGACGCGATCCTTTCAAGAAATACCAGCGGATCTACGCCAGAAATCCATCTCTGTTGCCTCTAAAACCTCCCAGGTCCGCTGTTTCATCGGCCATACTTCACACCCGTAGGTTAACATGCTCTTGACAATCTCGTTGTAGATCCTTCTTTTGTTCTCTTTGGAGATCCTTTGGTCCCAAAGGACTCCATTTAACATAGCAATTGTCCTCCTACCCTGCATATTCCTCTTCTTGATGGCCTGGTCCAATCTTCCATCCTGGGTTAGAAACACTCCTAAATATTTGTAAATATCACAGCTTCCAATTTGCCGCCCATCCTCTAATTCTATACTTTGCTGATTCCCGCCAACCGTCAACTTCTCGGTTTTGCTGAAATTCACCTCGAGGCCCCATTTTTGATACTCAGCCACCAACTTTCGAGTCATGTACTCAGCATTATCCTGATTACCTACAGCCAATAGAAATTTGAATGTCCTTAATTTTGATATATTTTTTGTAGTTTTTCCGGGAGAAAAAGTGGCGAATCTTTGCGAAGATATGACAATTTAAGCAACTTACTTCACCGGCTGTGGTAAACCAAAGTCGGGGATTTCGATTTCCATCCGTTTCGCACTACTACCCCAACATGGGGTAGGTTTCGGCCAGATGGTCCTCTAGTTGGTTAAACTATCATATGTTGGTTTGGCTCTCAATTTAAGTAGAATGCTTTGATCAGAAGCTGGCTAAGGAGATCGGGGACCGAGATCGAGCCGACCAACTAAACCAAACTCACGGCTGCATGTCTGCCCGGATAACGCCGGAATCATCCCCATTGAGGGATATTTCTCCGGCTGCAACACTGTGAGGTGTTGAGGTTGGAACTGTGCCTCATTTTAAGGCGAATTACTTTAGTTATATAGGAGTGAACTTTATTCCAGAGTTCTTTGGAGTCTAGCATGAGGGACATAATATTTTCAGGGGAAATTGTACTGTTTAGTCCTTTTTCGAGATTGGTTCTGAGATTTTTCACAGAGTCGCAGCCGAAGAAAGCGTGTTCCAGCGTATCCTCGGCAGACAGGCATAGGGCACATAAGGGGGAGGGAGTTAATTTAAATCTATTAAGGTAGCTATTAAAAGAACCGTGACCCGACATGAACTGCGATAAGAAGAAATCTGCTTCTCCATGGGTCCTCTCCATCCAGATTTGCAATGAAGGAAGGAGTCTATGCAGCCAGCAATCATCTTGATTTCCAGTACATGTCCAACGAGTATTCCATCTCCTGTTAATGTCTACCTTGATTTCCAATTTATCCTCTTCTTTTTTAATTTGGCGGAGTTTTTATTTGGCGGAGGTAATTTTTATATATGTCTCAAGGCTTTTTTACAAGTTTTACTTATTTTTATCACATATACTGTTTCTCATTTATTCTTCTTGTGCACCTTCACGATTTCAATGCATGTTTTTTTATGAGTGCGTATTTCTTTTATTAAATTTCTGTTTTTTTTTTTTCCCCGCTCATTTCTTTTGTTTGTTTCGTAAACACAACCTTTTAGAAATATATGATGCCCTAAGAAAAATTTTCTGGCTTTAGAGCTTTTACCCTCTAGTAAGGGATTAAAAAAGCAAGGGTTCTGCCCCCCCTCCTTCCATCAAACAATCGAATAAAAAGGAAAGAAAGACCAAGTTGGTGACTGCCTACTCTATTCTCCACCCCATTTACAATAATGGATACAAGAATTTAAAGGGGTGTTACCTTTCAACAGTGGCGTTCCAGATTCTAGTCTCTGTCATTGGAATGCTGGTGAACAGTCTTGTGGATGATATTTGTTGTAAATGCATGTGAAACATAACTGAAGGGAGCAGTGTGCACAGATGATAAAAGGGACTTGTTCAAACGCGCATTTTTCCAATTGGACTTGTTTAGAAAAGCAAACTTCCGAGACAGTTTTGAAGAAAGGGTCAATGGCAGTCAAAAGTTTCGATTTATGCCATGCAAACACCCATATTATTCAACACCAGAGCAATCAATTGATAATGGACCAACGCATTGGTTTTTATCACGTCTTTGCATTTATTGATTTCACATCCCTCTTTGAGAAGCTGCGCACAATTATGTAGATTTTTTTATTATTTTTTTTAACTTGTCAAAACAAGAAAACATCGCATGGCTGACAAAAAGGCGTGCAATTCGGTGGAATAATTTCAACTGTGGCAGTGCGGTTACCATCTTGGTCCGTTAATAAATTGTTTATCATGGCACTGTTAGTTTGTCCTCCCCACGAGTTGATGAGGAGGAAAAAATTATTGTTCGTCACCTAGGGCTGAATAATTTTTTCCAAGAAGTAATCACGACGTTACCAAATTCAGTGACCAATCAGTCCATAGTTTTTCTGACTTAAGGTCCGAAAACGCCGTTTTGTTCTTGTAGAACCAAATATACCTGTAATAAATCTCCTGACGATGTTATCGAATAGTCCGCGGTGTATCCGTGCGTCACTTTATTATGGTTACCGAGATATACCTTCTTACTCTTTTCACCTTTAAAAGAGAGTGTCCGACTATCATCCGCTCAAAATTCAATACCAGTCTGGTCACAATGAATCACCAGCAATGGAACAAACTCCTTAATTTTTCCAAGACAAATTTCTGAAACTTACCGGAATCCTCGAGAATTTGTTTAAAAGGAGGGGTATCGATAAAGGCCATTTTTGGCTCCCCCTGGAGGGCTTTTTTTGGCCCCATCTAGAATCTGGAAATTCATGCGGGTTTTCCAAGTTGACTCAATGTAATTTATGGAAATAATCATGATTTGGTACAAAGGCCACTGGATACGTGTTAATGGTTGCCTGTACATAAGTCTGCAGGCATATTTTAGCAGAGATGCGTGTTTTTCTATCACTCCGAGGCTTTTTTGACACCGAGCACATCGTTAAACTAAAACGAGCTTTTGATGTTATTAAGGAGGCTTTAGGACACATTTTAACCCTGGTTTGGATGTCCCTTAAAAGTCAGCTTTTGAAAAAGATTTTTTTGACTATGAGTGCATCATCAAACTTTAACCAAACCAGGATTAAAATGTGTCCTAAAGGCTCCTTGATAACATGTCAAAAGCTCGTTATAGTTAGATGATGCGCTCGGTGTCAAAAAAGCCTCGGAGCGATTGAAAAACACGCATCTCCGCTAAAATACGCCTGCAGACTTATGTACAGGCAACCGCTAACACGTATCTAGTGGCCTTTGGACCAAATCATGACTACTTCCATAAACTACGTTGAGTCAACTTGGAAAACCCACATAAATTTTTCGATTCTAGGTAGGGACATAAGAGGCCCTCTAGGGGGGGGCCAAAAAAGGCCCTTATCGACATCCCTCCTTTAGTGCATTTTTCGATTAATGTAGGGTACTACTTTTCGCCTCCTGATCCCGTACACTTTTATTTTTAATTTATAATTTGGGCCAATAAAAGGGGCTGCACTTGAAAGACCGAACTCTTGTAGATTATGCGTAGTTACGAGTTGCCTCTTGGAACGAGCTTCCTTAAACCGTACGCACGTCAGATCGTTCACTTTCTGACACTTTTCGCGATAGGAACCACCGTTTTTCACGTCATTTTCCCACCGTTTTAAGTGCGATCGGTCGCGATGTTTCCTGGCGCCTTTCCTGAGTAGCGTTGCTATACTCCAACTGGGATGCTTACGGGCTGACTCCACCACCTTCTGCTCGACATTCAATGGCACTGAATCCGAAACAGTTCCATCTCGAGGATCCGAACTTTCATTTTCACTCACAATTGCAATTGACAGTCTCATCGGAAAAATCTCCCACTACCAAAAAATCGTCACAATCGAGGGGACTGTCGGCCTCTGTTTGTAATGACAATTCCTCGTTTTTCACAGATGAAAATTTTCCAGGCACTTTTTTTTAAGGCAATCGCGAACCTTTCCCCAAAAAGTTCTGCTGCACGACCCAGTAATTTGGACGAAGAGGAGGACAAAATGTTTTCTGTCACTAAAATTTTACGTTACAGCTCGAGTGCATCGCTTCGCTCTTGCAGATGGTCTTCGCTCATAGTACTTGTATGAACTAACAATTGAAATTAAGAGACAAAACTGAAAATCATGCGACAGAAGAGAAAAATCTCATAACTTTCCTTGAAAAAACCGCGGAACTTGGGAGAACCAAAAGGGAGCACGCGTGTAAACTGCACCGTAGAACTGATTTTCGATGCCTAGTTCATCAACACCCTATTATGTACATTGATTCTACTGAGAAGATAGAAGATGGATAGATGGATCTTATCTATCAAAATAAGACTTTAATGACTCGGGTTTGCAGTTGTGAGAGAGCATTGTGATGGGTGCATATCTTAAAAAAAAACAGTGTCAGAAAGTGAACGACCTAGCGTACGCACGGTTTAAGGAAGCTCCTTCCAAGAGGCAACCTGTAACTACACGTAATCTGCTGGAGTTTGGTCTAGCAAGTGCAGCCCCTTTAATTGGCCCCAATTATAAATTCACTGCTTCTTTAGGACAGGCAGCAAAATATAAAAATGCGCACGGGATCAGAAAGCGAAAAGTAGTGTACTACATAAAATCCGAAAATACACTAAATTTGAAACAAATTGTGATAAATTTCGACCAGACCGGTATATATTTATATTTTTATACGCTACGATTACGATACAAACAAAAGAAATGGGCGAAAAAAAAACAACACAGAAATTTAATAAAAGAAATACGCACTCATAAAAAAACATGCATTGAAATCGTGAAGGTGCACAAAAAGAATAAGTGAGAAACAGTATATGTGATAAAAATAAATAAAACTTGTAAAAAAGCCTTGAGACATACATCAAAATTAAGGACACGCAGGGGGAGCGGAACCCGGGACCGCCGGATCGGAAGGCGAGCGCACTACCACTCCGCTACATAACGGTCAGGGGACCTGGCCGGTCAAGTCGGTAGACATACATCTTGACGGACACTCATAGGGAGGGCGCTTTGTGCAGCTTGCCAGCGCTCAGTTGACTCGCCGGCACACCGCGCAGAAACGTGCAAAAATCATAACTTTAACGATCGATATCTCGAGAAGTGTTGGGAGGTGGCGTCTAAAAAAATTTGCCGACCTAAGATTTGTCTCTTCTACATGTACAAGCAAAATGAAGCCAATCCCAGGATGTCACTTTGTAGACTCCCCTTGTTAGCCTGATGAATTCTGAAGTTCAAATGGTGGCGGATTATAAAGTCTTACAATACAAGCCCCTTGGCTTTTAATAGCTATTTTCTTCTTTCACTTCTTGGGCTGTTACGCAGTTCCCATTGCTCTTGTAAAATTTTATTTTCCAGAATTGCATTGCTTTCAAACTCAACTAAACCGCATTTCCAACAGTATCACAAAAAGATCACACTGTAACAGTTTAACAATGAAAATTGAAGTTCAGGACTTTTCCATAGATTTTATAAACAAAAGTATGAAATACTGAAGTTTACCTGCTTTTGGAGAAGATGTAGACGAGCTACTGTGAGGAACGCAGAATGGAGACTGATCGTTTATGACAGGAACTCGTGAGGGCACTACTTTATTCAGTCTTGTGTTAGATAAGGTAGTAGGGGGACAATGGTTAATGTGATTGAGAGTGTAATTTTCAGATGAAAAACCTGTACTTTCTTCAGGCTCGTTCTTCAATTCGGGATTCGGAGTTGGCATGATTTGTGTCTGATTACTTCTGATAGAATTGAATAGCATACTATTCGGTAAATTAGAGTGCACCTCCGACACTGGCAGGTTCTGAAAGTCAGATCCTGAGTACAAAATATTTGAACGAATCATTACATTTGAATGAGATGCTACAGAAGTGAAGGGAGAGACCACATCTGAAGCAATGTTACTTTCTTCTGCTACAGTTAGATTGTGGGAATTTTCTCCTTTCTTAACTGTTTTCATACGATGAACTAATTTTGAGAAGACTTCCTCGTTCAATAAGGGTCTGAAACAGAGACAAAATTACATACACACATTGCTTACATACAGAACACCACAATTCAGACACTGAAATCCAAGCACACCTTCAGCTTGTTGTTAGGCTGGATATATGGCTTTTAAAGGAGACATCAGATCATGGAATTGGTTAAATTGAAATAATAATTTACAACTATTTTTTGTGAAGAATAACTACATTCTAGTGCCTCAAAGGAGATTTCTATTTTGGTCCTATTTAATGTTAGGATTTATATTTAGATAATTATTTTTTTCCTTATTTCTGTCTTTAGGATTTTTTCATTTTTAAATACAAGTTTGTTAATGGACTTTTTGAGTTTCGAGATCCTTATGCATTTAATTTTAATCCTTTCTCAACTTTCATGATTTTTAATCATATTTTCAGGTATTGAGGAATTTTGGCGTTTAGAACCATCCTTTAGGATACGGTGTCATTGAATACTACCATTTCAGCATCCTCCGTGCAACTCACTGACATAACGGACCATACTTAACTGACTACTAACAAGGTGAAGAGATGGTGCTGGGTCCACACCATTTCGCAGGGAAATCAAGGCCAAGAAGTTCCAAAAATTATAATTAGAGTAAAAAATTAATTTTTTTAAACTCAAATGAGTACCAGCACAAAACTGAGGGAGAAGAGTGTTCAGCTCAGGCAGTCCATTCCTTCACCCATCCATTCCACTCGGAAGCTACCAAGACCCAAACCGGTATAGATCTCTCGCCGTGACTCCAACTTAATAATGCAAACTGCCTGAGCTGAACACTCTTCTCCCTCAGTTTTGTACTGGTACTCATTTGAGTTTAAAAAAATTACTTTTTGACTCTAATTATAATTTTTGGAATTTCTTGGCTTTGATTTCCCTGCGAAATGGTGTGGACCCAGCACCATTTCTCTACCTTGTTACATACAGTATTTGGGTCACTTCTTTTGTGTTTTTTTTCTCACTTACTTTTAACTATACTTTACCCTAGAAATACTTCCTCTTTACATGCGAGCAGAAAGAAAGTAAACATTTAGGAGGTCAAGTGAAAACTTTTTGATTGGTCTCAGCTGAAACTGAAGAACAAAATGGAGCATCAAAAGCTCTATCAGGTTATAATAAAATTCAAAACCTGTATGAGCTAAATGGCAGACTATATTTGGAAGCTTGAAATATTTGGGAAATATGAAGGGATAAATAATCAAATATACCTTTTCCTAGATTTATTGACTGGTTTTATTCCCAATGTTGAGGTTGAAACTGAAGCCTGGTTTCCATTTTCACTTGGAAAAAATTCGCTGTTTTGGAGAGGAGAACTTATCAACGTTGAGAGATGAGAAGTGGAGGACTGTCCTTGTGAGGAATCTGAGGACCAGTTCAGAGCAGCAGATGAATTTTTGAAAACTGTCTCACTAACATCAGATGATCCTTCCAGGTCATTATCGGCAAATAACAGTTCAAAATCCATCTCCTCTGCACAGTTTAGAGGAGACACATCAATACAATATTCAGTTTCTTATGAAAGACATTTTAACAAGAGAAAATTTTGAATCGTCTTGAGATTTAAAACCGAAACGGGCCAAAATTTTTCTTTTTGAAGATGAAATAAGTATTTGAAAAAATATGTAAATTCTGCAAATCAGAGAGGATTAGAGGGAAGCAGAAGGGGTGGAGATGAGGACTTATTAGAAAACATTCTCCAGAAGGGTTTAAACGAGTAGAATAGAAAATCCAACCACCATAGCTGCTGGCCAAAGCTCATTATGCTTACATTTTGAAGCAATCGGTTAGACTGAGGCTGAAACGTATGATGGAAGAAAAAACAGGAATGGACTTTGCATGAGGAGCAGAAACATGACGCACCAGTGTATTCTGCATAAGAAAGAGGGAAATGTTGATCAAAATACAAAATAATGAAATACAGTGACATAGGACAGTTTCATATTTTGGTGCTCGGAAAATCCATACTAAATTTTCGGCTCCAACATCGCCCAAACGCTTAGATCTGTGGCTTTTTGTTGAGTTGAACTTAATATCAACCTACTAAACTTCCATCAAAATGTACTAAAAGTCACTAAGCCCCTGCAAGAGAGTGGAGCTTATTGTTTAAAGAAGACAAAACCAAAGATTGCACAGTCTGAAACTGTTCTTTGTAATGAAATAACTGTGACTAGAAGAATTTTGAACCAAGCATTTCCTTGTCTGTCTCTGACTTAGCCTAGATAATGAGATTATTTCTGGAATTTTAGCCCTTTTAAATTGATATTTCAGCTAGCGACTGGGATCTGATGCAAGAATTCCACAAATTTGTACAAATCTAGCACATACCTTGCAGACTAAGGGGATATTCTTGTTTTAGGCATGGGTCAGTTTCACTTCGCCCATACATTCCACTCGGAAGCTACAAGAATCGGAGTTTAACAATTTAGGAGTTTAGTAGGAGCTTTTTGAGCACCTTCTAATGGTAGTAAAAGGCCATAAATATACGGCGAACAAGTTTATACCACAAGTGTAGAGGGTCAAGAGACTCTTAGGTATATTGATTCACGACGATTAGGTATATTGATATCATTGACGCTAGATAGATGCACGAAAATTGAGAAAAATACCTCCATTTTGACCAATCAAAAAACTTTCGGCCATATTTCTGCTCTCGAAAATATTTCAAATATCCTGAAATGACAGTAGAGGTTTGAAAAAAATGAAAAGCTATTATTCATACTATTCGTATATGGATGAGAAAAATTTACTTTGTCCTTAAGACCTTCATTTCTTGTTGTGTAATGCCCAAAACTGCAGCAAGAACAACAAAATTACCTCAATTTGGGCGTTTTTACACCCTGGAATGATAATGAAAGCACAACAATTTGTGAAAAGAAACTTTATAAAATTTGTGTAGGGAACAAAACATTCCTGGGCTCTCAAGTCTTTCATTCTTCTTCCTAAATGCCCAAAACTGAATTGAAAGTGTCAAATGTACTTTGGTTTGGCCGGCAAAGTAAAAGAAAATGTGCTACGAAGTTAAAATTTGGCCTACTGAGTCTTCATGGCTTCAAATTACACCCTTCAGCGGTAAAACCCGGATATATTCCACCGTTGCCAAGTTACGGCAAAATTCCGGTTTTTTGGGTTCCTCCTCGTATAATATTCAATACTTGTGTAATTCATGTTTCAAATGTAATACATGGGCACTACTATGAAAATGACGATCTTTGACTGTACTTCCACATCTACTTGACAGAGTGCGCTGAGTATACAGAAGTAAATGGTGCCGTTAATCGTTGATAGAGCGCGCATGGTATACAAATAGGTAAAAATCCCGGTAAAATATTTTGAAAATATTTTCGACAGAATATTTTTCAAATATTTTTGACAGAATATATTTTAAATATTTTCGGCAAAATATTTTTTAAATTTTCCTTGGAAATATTTTTAAAATATTTACATGGTGGGAACATGTAACCCTTTTGAAAATATTTTGACAATGTTTTAAAAATAAGTACAAAATAATGTCAAAAATATTTTAAAAATATTGGTATGCTGACTGAGTTATTTCTTTAAAAACGCATTTGACTGGGACGTCAGTTCCATCGAGTGGAGGAAAGTGACAACCGTGGATCTCCTTCCGTGATTTGACTTGCTGAAGTAGCAAAAGATAATCTTTACTTTTTTTTTCTGCTATTTAATGGCTTTGTGTCTAAGCACCTGCAGCCAACTTTAGACTAGTGTGTATCTATCGAATGGAGGTTATACAAGGTGCAGCAAAAGTCCCGGGACCCCTGTTCAATATTTTTACGGCTGCAGCTAGGAAAATGAAATTTGGGGGGTAGTCCTAGGTCAATGAAATCTACTTTTTGACCCCCCCCCAAAATTTTTTTTTGGGGGGGGTTACGGACCCTAACTTTTTTTTTCAAATGGGAAGACCCCCTTTGTGATATCTCGTTCGAAAGAGCATAATAAAAGAAAATTTTTCGCGTAAACCCGAAGTCATTATCTCAAACCGTTTCAAAATGGCGGCCGGTCAAAGTTCAAAATGGCCGAAAATTGGCACCTCTGCTATTTGCACATGGATTTGCTTAAAACACGGTATTTGGGGGTATTTTGGCACGAGGAAAACGAATTTGACGTTAGATTTTTTAAAAAAACCCTAATTTTTCAAAATGGCCGCCGGTTTAGGCTCAAAGTGGCCGAAAATTAGACAAACTCGATTTTCTGCCGATGGATTCGCCTGAAATTCGGTTTCTAGGGGTATTTTGACCCGAGAAGAACGAATTCAACGTTAGATTTCTAAACAAACCCAAAAAATCGAGTTTGTCAAATTTTCGGCCACTTTGAGCCTGAACCGGCTGCCATTTTGAAATATTAGGGTTTTTTTAAAAATCTAACGTCAAATTCGTTTTTCTCGTGCCAAAATACCCTCAGATACCGAGTTTCAAGCAAATCCATGTGCAAATAGCAGAGGTGCCAATTTTCGGCCATTTTGAACTTTGACCGGCCGCCATTTTGAAACGATTTGAGATAATGACTTCGGGTTTACGCGAAAAATTTTCTTTTCTTATGTTCTTTCGAACGAAGTATCACAAAGTGGGTCTTCCCATTTGAAAAAAAAAGTTAGGGTCCGTAACCCCCCCAAAATTTTGGGGAGGTCAAAAAGTAGATTTCATTGACCTAGGACTACCCCCCAAAATTTCATTTTCCTAGCTGCAGCCGTAAAAAAATTAAACAGGGGTCCCGGGACTTTTGCCGCACCCTGAATGTGATTAGGAACCGGCTTTAAAGGTGTGAGAAGCAAAAAATAAAATATAGAAACATGGAAAAAACGGGAGGGATTGATAAAAAAGGTAGAGTTGAAGAGGGAGAAGGTGAGAACCCTTCACCATTTTCACGCTCTAATACCCGGCAGAGCGACTTCCTATGCCCAGAGACTGGGTAATGGAAAACATACAAAGTGAACATATGGTAGGAATTGAGTGTGGAAGAGATTGATTTGTTTGGAAAAAGGTAGATTGAATAATTTAGAGGGTAAGACGGTTGGTGGGTGTGGAATAAGTTTAAGAAAATTATTAGTGTGAGAGTAAAGATTTGGTAGATTAGAGATGGATATAATTTTTATCTAGAAAGAGGGCTATGGATTTAAGGGTATTGAGGTCACCGACCAAAAGAAGATATAGAGTTGAATAGGGTGGGAAGATTTCAAATTTATTTATAAGTTCAGAAAAAATGATGTTTCTATTTTTCAGCTTTTCACATTGGAAAAGGAAACGCTTAAAGTTTCCTATGGAACCACATTCGCACAAATTAGAGGTTGCTAAGTTGATTCTAAACAAGTGAGTGGGGTAAAGGCTATGACCAATTCTAAGCCTGATTAAATTCGTAATAAGGGAACGTTTCCAGTCAAGTCTGTAAAACCATGGTTTGCGAGAGAGTGTAGGGAGAAGTGATTTTAGTCTTTGTCCTTTCCAAGTACATGTTAACCAGTCAGAATACCAATCATTAAAGGTTTGTTGGGAGATAAGGGGGAACAATTGTTTAAGATAGATTTTATGATCAACTAACTGAGCTAAATGAATCGATTTAGTCAATTGGTCGACTCTCTCGTTACCTAATATCCCTGAGTGACTAGGGATACAGACCAACCAAATATTTCTTTCACGGTGTCTAAACAGGATTTCTTTGGTTTCTTCAATGAGGGGGTAAAGGTCCGATTTTTTATTAATAAGGTTAACTAAGAGACTATGAGAGTCCGTACAGATAACAACATTGGATAGATTTAGACTAATACTATGTTCGAAAGCTTGGAGGATAGCCCACGTTTCGGCTTCAAATATAGAATTATATTCTGATAGAGAAGATAGACTTTATGGTGTTCATTAGAGAGAAAGGCTGAAGAGGTGTATTCAGCCGTCTTGGCACCGTCAGTATAAAATTGGGTAAAGTTCCTAAATTTTAATCTCATTAATTCATTAAAGTTCATTTGGATTGAAATGTGGTCAGATAGTTTTCTTGGAGGAATGTCTAGAAAGATGGTATTAGGTTGGAAAAATTGGAAAACAGGATCTCTCATAAGTGAGCACGGTAAATCGCTTTTTAAGATTTTGGGTAATGAAGGTTTTCTCAGAAACCATCTATTAAGAAAAAGTGGGTGTTGTTTATTAACCCAATAGTTACATAACATAATTGATCTCTCAAGCATCTTTATATTCCTAATAATGGGATTGTGATTCAGGCTCATTGATCTGGAGTTTGTCTGTTAGGAAGTTAAATCTATTAAGGATGGGAGAGATAGCTGCCTCGGCGTTTAGATTGTTGGTAGGGGTTGATCTAAGAACACTTAAGGTTTTACGCATGCAGGATTTTTGGAGTATATTGGTTCTTTCAATAAGATTGAAATTTCTGCAATATGTTGGGAGGCCGAAATCAAGAATCGGGCGAATCATACTGATGAAAAGTTTTCGAGAGACGTCCTGGTTAAT